TTAATTTTCCTGGCTCATTAGTAATTGCTTGCATGTAATTCCTCTCATCATCTTGCTGGTTGATTGTTGACAGTGCTGCATTGTCTTTGTCTAGATCCGCCGTGCCGTCTTGCAGCTTCTGTTCCCTGAAAAGCCCTTCAGCTGGGTGCGTCACATCTCCATCGCCGTGTGCCTCCTCTTTGCCGTCAATCTTCTCGTTATCTTCGTGCCCAACATTCGTGACATCTTCGGCTTCATTGGTGAGTCAGATTTGCAGCGTAGAGGATTTTAATGGTCACATTAATATGCAGAATTCAACTGATTCATTTTTCTTTTAGGTGCCACATCTGCTCCCAGCCTCATTTTCATATTGCCAGGAATATTCTACATTTGCATCGTCCCCAAAGAACAGGAGCCGTTGAAATCTCGGCCAAAGATCCAGGTGAAAATCAGACAGAAAGTTACTTCACTCTCACAGATCTATGGCTTCTTTTTTTCTCACTTCCATTTATGTTTTCCAGGCGATGGTGTTTGTGACACTGGGTTTCATCTTCATGATTATGAGTATTACGTTCATCATAGTAGAGTGGGTGACTGGAAAGAAGTCGATGGGTGGACACTGACACAACTGAATCCTAAAGACCAAATACAGAACACACAGGCCTGAACCTGCAACCAGTGACCCAGGTTCAGTTTCATTTAGCTTGATAAATATCAAATCAGATAACTCCTTAATTTCAATAAGTCCAAAATTAAAAGGTTTTCAAGGAGGCCAGTTACCAAAATCCAAGAAGAATTCAAAAAAAAAGAAACCCTGCTTGGTAACAGATATTCTTGACATGTTATAGCCATGATGCTCTAATAACATATTGCTGTTATGACTGGCAAATGGAACTTCCTAAATTACATGAGGAAAAACTGTGAAACTATGATGAGAATTCACTCATCTTTATTGCCAAAAGTGTAAACATGCAGTTTGAAGTCTACCTCCTACTAAACAGAGCAATTTTACAGTGACAGAGACAGTTTGTGTTTTTTTTTTTTGATCAGTGCATATTTTGGGATCCAAAAGTCTTTCATTAGTCAAAATGCTTTGTTCCGTTCATTACAAATTATATTATTAGCATAACATTTTAAGTGAAACATTTGTGCAAAATCGGATGATCCTAAATCTATCTTAAAGGTCCACCATGTAACTTTTGACCCTAGTGGTTAAAAAACAAAACAGACAGAACATTGTTTTGGTTGTGCTTCGGCTCTGCGTGACTGTGGATGAATATGCTATCCCGCTGCTCATAAAACATTCACTACTATGCTTAAGAGACAAGCAGTTTAGATGGAAAGGATCTTAAGCTGACTAGCTGAAGAAGTTACTGTAGCTATACCTATTAATAGACACGGTACTTCCTTGAAGATAAATCTCAGTACAGCGCTACAACAACCATAATGAAATGACCCTTTACAATAGATAATGCTTTACAATGAACTCCGGTAGACTACATAATGGTTTATCTGTTCAATAAAATACCTTACTCACCAGTTGAGCAATAAAAACGGCATCTCTGCGTCACTTTTATAACATTCCAAATACGAAATAGCTACCTCAGTTCTCTCCAAGACAATGATGATTCCCATTGTATTAAGATCTCTGTTGAGTTCTCTTTTTGCCAGCAGACTCTCCTCTATTCTACGTTTTTTTTTTTTAAACGAGAGAAAAACACGGGTGATTCCCCGGAGGTTCGAGATGTAGCAGCTCTATGTCAACCTTTCTCGCTCGCTTCGACAACTATGCCTCTCTCACACCATCCACGAGTCGAAAGAGCCGGAGCAACTTTTCTCTATTTACGGATATGAGAAGACACGCACGGGTGACTGACGTATAGTAGGCCTACTCAATGTCCCGCGAGAACCATCCCGTCAGGTCTAAAATATAAACGCTTATTATAGGCTCACTTTATCATAGTGAATCAGGGTAAGACAAAAAAACAGTTTTGACAGAATGATTGAAGGTGTATGAACAAAAAAAGTTACACAGTGTACCCGTAATGTTATCTTTTTTTCTTTTATTTATTTTTTTAATCCCAAAACGTTCTATTTTCATATTTGATTTTGAATCCCAGATATTCAATTTGGTCTCAGACCTTTGGAACCCACTGTATGTGAATCTCAGTTAACTTTATTTGTGATGAATGATATATATAAAAATACCGTGTATAATTTTATTTAAATAGGAAAAGTGTACAGTTTTGTGATGAATTTCAACATTATCTTTAAGGACAATGCTTGAATGTTAGATGAAGATCCTTAAGTAAATGTATTGTATGTATTGGTACATGTCTTGTTACACCAATCAAACAAATGAAATCTACAGTATGAGATGTCTTACAGTACATCAACAGTGTTAGTGCAGTTCTTGCCGCTGTCATATGACAACATTTCTTTACTCTGTTTTAGAGAGGTGAAGGAATACTAATTATCTTGTAGTGTTCAAGAAACACAAAACACTGTTTTGGCATTTTTCATGTTGTATGTCATTTTGTTTGTTGTATAATTGAAAATACTTTTTGAACATCTTGAAAATGAGCATACTTGATTTCGTTCTGGTTTATATGGTGACATGTTGTTACAGTGACAAAAATTACACTCCAGAAATGGACCGAACAGTAATAAATGCTGTAAATCACTCTATATGAAAGGTCACTATAACACGGCATTGATGGGGGTGTAGAACAGCATTCATTGTCCATAAGCTTACTAAAATGCCTCTGTCACTCCCAATCAGTATCTGTAAGTTTACATGGACCACAACTAAAATTGTTTCATGTTGGACATCATAACTATCATTAATGTTAATGTGTGCGTGTTTTGTATAGTCTTTATGTACATATTGTGTGTGATATGTTGAAATGGGAGAAACTTTATATCAGTTATTGCATATCTGTGTACAACATAGTCTAGTCTTTTTGGACTTAAAAAGGCTCAATTGGACCTGAGTGCTGAGATAAAATGAAACATGTAATACGCAATGAATCAAAAATTTGTGGTAAGCTAATAAAACGATTTAATTTAAATTCAATTACATTTAGTAATTCACATTTCCTCAGGATTGTTTTTTTTAAGTGCCTGACGACTTATGAAATGGAAACAATTCAGCATTCCACAGTTAATGTTCAGAAATACATGTATTTATTGTTGAACACATTGCGCTATCTTGAATAATAAAGTCAAAAGATGGTTAAATGTTTCAAATACTGGTTTTATTATATAAAACTATCATACACTTCAATTCAACAGAAATATGTTTTTGTATTTAGGCAACATCACCCGAAGGCCAGGATTTTTTTACTCACCCTCAGGTTGTTCCAAACCTGTAAAAAAAGAATGTGGGAAACTGAACAGTTCTGACTGGGACACCATTGACTTCCATAGTATTTTTTTTCCTACTATGGAAGTCAATGGTGCCCCAAAGCGGCCTGGTTACTAACTTTCTTCAAAATATCTTCCTTTGTGTTCAGTAGAACAAAGAAATTTAAACATGTTTGGAACAACTTGAGGGTGAATAAATGATGACAGCATTTTCATTTTTGGGTGAACTATCCCTTTCACCCTTACACTGTGTGAAATCCTGTAACACCTTTGTGTTCCCGGTCAAAAATGACCTTGCTTGTAAATCGGTTGTTATTATCTCCAAATATTGTATTCAATTATTTTGTCCGCTTGTTTTCTTTCAATTAGATTTTGTATTTCTTTGTTGAACTGATTGATCGTATAGGCCTCATTGATCAAAAAATTGATTGAAAAAAGCATTATTTGTGGATCAATTTGTCAATATTCAACAATATATATATATATTATTTTTTTTGTATATTTTTATATATATATTTTTTTATTTTATATTTTATATATATATATATATATATATATATATATACTGTATATATATAAAGTGCACTTGACAATAGTGTGTTTTGATGTTTAAACAGGAAGTTTGTTTTGAAATGCTTTTATTTTGTACAAAATGGCACAAAGTCACATTCGTGGTGTTCCCGGTCAAAAAGACGGCCTACAAAAAAATTGCTTATAAATCTCTTGTTATGCTATATTATCACCAAATATTGGATTCAATATTTTTGTCAACTTGTTTTCTTTCAATTAGGACAGGTTTTGTGTGTGTGTGTGCTTATTTATATGATTTACGAGGACACAAATTTTTGTAATGACATGTTAATTACACTGGTATTTATGAGGACATTTCCTGAGTCCTCGTAATTAAAATGACCTAAAAGGGGTTAGTGTAGGGGGATAGATTGTACAGTATAAAAACCAGTACACCTATGGAATGTCCTCATAATGATAGGTGCTCCAACGTGTGTGTGTGTGTGTTCGTGTGTGTATTATCTCTAGTTAATAATAATAATAATAATAATGATAATGTGTGCTAATTAAAGCGTTTCCAGTTGGAAAAAAAAATCTAACCAGGAGATCAGTATTTGCTGTAACAAGGGTGTATTTGCAGAAGGAGAAATTTAGCATTTATTAAAACAAACAAATCCATTTTAGCTAAATTACGAAAAACAATTACACCCCTGAATGCAAAATGTCTTTCTTTTTCTCAAATATTGCCTCAACTAATTATTTTTAACGACTGCAAAACAAAAAGCTGAACAGTTTGGTTGTGTGAGGAACTTTGGTCAAAAGTAAAGCCAAAAAAATCTTTTGCATCTCATTTCCATAATGTTAGGTTTTCATTTCACTTTTTGTTTTATTTCATTTCTTCTTCTTTTTTTAATCACAGTTAGTAATTCCTCATCCCATTTGTTTAGTTTGTTTTCTGTCCTTCATCATTTGTAACATTCAGACAGATATTAGAGGCACGGATGGAAACCAACCAACAGAAGGTTATCTTGGTGTAGTTGTACACTGTAATGTCTGTTCTGACTGCACTAAGAGGTCTTCTGCTCTGATCTGAAAGCAACATGAACATACAGCAGTGTGTCAAGCTGACAAGCAGGCGAGAGAATGAAAATAGAAAAGAAAAAAAAGTGTGGTTGTCCATTTCCTGTGAAAAGCTTTTGTCTGCTGTTGCTGAGAGTAAGAACTAGGAAGAGAAACTCAATGCTCGCTGTTCAGACTAGTCACCGGTAGTGCAGAGGAGATCTCTCGTTCTCTCTCGGGGTCTCTTTCTTTCTCTCGCTTCGAGTGTAACTTTTGAACGGTTTGGTCCATGAGCATATGAGGCCATGAGGCGAGCATCGAAGGAGAAAGGTCAGGAGAATGCGGGCTGCTCTCTGCTCAGTCCACAGGAGAATGAGAGGCTGGAGGATCTGCTGGGCAGGAGGTGTGTGGTAAGTTCAGAGGCCTTCAGTACTAAGGTAAATTTACACTTTAGAGGGAAGATGGAGTGTTTTTCATCATGAAATTGAGACACATCTGTGCAAACGGTGGGCCAAAAGTTTGATTTAAATGCTTTAAAAGACTTATTTATGTGTGTGTGTGAAAATGTATGCATTGAGAAATGGTGTGAAAATGTATGCATTAAGATATGGTGAAATCTGTAGACAAGAAATATTGACCATATTTTTTACCTCTCCTTTTGAGAAGCTGTCATTGATTGAACTCTTTTTTTTATGTGTTTTCCCCCTCATTTATCTGAAATAAGAAGTGAAGCATTTTCACTTAGACCATGTGGAAAAAAAAAACAAATCACACATTTTGTAACTTAATTGAACTTTTAACACTTTTAACTTTTTCACTTTTAACTTAATGGTGTGACTCACATTTAAAAAAAAAATTACCTTACAATATACAGTGAAAAAGTGTAGATTTAACAGAAGCAAAATGTAAAACAGCACGTTTAATGTAAAACAGTGCAGTGTAAATTTGCACTATTCAGACAACACAACATACTGTTAAAGTTATATCAGTACAATTACAATTTCAGAACTCCCTGCGTGACGCATTTCAAATGGTTGTATTTTCTTGAAATATTTATATTTCTTCACATTTTTACTGTAAATTCACTATACCCATTTAAAAAAAAATAAATGTTACGGATTTTTCAGTTAATTATTTAAAAAGAATTGCAGCCACATGTAGCCTAGCCTTTACTGTACATCACAGAAAGCTTTAGGTAAACCAGTGAATCCAAACGTGTTTCTCACTTCTGTATGTGGTTGTTTATTTCTACTTCCTCTGATCATTCCATTATGACACATTCAAGACATCCTGTTGTTCTGTTGTTGGCGACCATTTATGTAGCAGAAGCTTTTATCTAATATACATACACACTAACTATGCAACCATGATGAAGTTGAGCAATCATTATCAAAAGACTGTAGCCTTCCTCTAACAGACCTGTTGTAGATCCGTCAACGCAGGAACTGCCATTTTGTGGGTATTTTTGGTGCTGCTTGACTGCACAGAGTAAAAGCTTTTATGATTAGAGGAAGAAAAGGTGTGAAATTAGCCCTCACTGCAGCTTGAACTGTGGGGTATGACAGGGGAAGTTGCTTAAAGACATTTCCTATCACAGAATAATAAAAAAGCGACTATTATCTGCAACTTTAAGTGTTTGCTCAGCGTTAATTGGTGAAAGTGATTCACAAACAATCATGCATGTGAGAATAATACGCTTTTGTGTGATGCTAAATACAGCCTTTTTTTCTGGTTTTGTCTGCAGTCTCTGTCCTCAGCGGTTGTGCAGTTGCTCATGGCTGTTCCGAGCGAGCCGAACCGCTGGACACCTCAGCAATCTGGAGTAGTGTGTTTCGTCAAGGACAGTCATCAGCGCTCCTTTTTCATCCGTCTCTTTGACCTCAAGGTTTTGAGACCATTTCTCTCTTATCGGCAAACATCGTGTTAACAGCCTAAAGAAATGCATTAAATCTAGTCATTATAATAATCATTATCACATTTTGCATGTGCACGTGTGAATTAAAATCTCAACAAACTGTTTAAAATATCAAATAAAATAAAACAAACTTTTCCCCATGGGTAGTTCTGAACATATTTGACCTGTGTTTGCTTGGGAGAAAACTAAGATGATCTTAGACTTGTTATTTCTCTTCAGGCAGGGAAGCTGGTGTGGGAACAGGAAATCTATAACCAACTAATGTACCAAAGAGTCATGGCTTTTTTTCACACTTTCCCTGGAGATGTAAGTATTTACCTGTTGTAAATCCCAACCTTGTGCGTTATGCTCACTGTCATTATTACAGTTGATTTTAACATGTTTTCACAGTATCAAATAGCAAATTTTTTTTTTTTTTTTTTTTGTGTGTTGAGGAAGTTTTTATTTCTCTTTCCTGTAAAGTTAATTTTGCGTATTACCAACACTTCCTTATAGTACTGTCCACCACAAAACTGTCTGCATTCAGGCAGGCAAAAAGAGCTAAAGTTGCACACAGTCTTTGCATGTATGATGAATTCACACAGTTGTTGCTGACAAACTAGTTGGGCTAATTTTCTGGTTGGGTATTAACCACTGTAAAAAAAAATACTTCCATTTTGTCTCTATTTGAACCATTGACTGAACTATCTAATGTAGTAAAGTCATGTTTTAGGTCCTTTAGTATGAGCAGCTTAAATGTTAAAATAGTAAGAACTTAAAGTGGTAAAGGTAGTAGAACGGATAAACTGTTGAGCATGTTCAGTTTGATCACTGATGCTTAGCGCTGTGGAATTTGTTTGGATCTTTGAAGGACTGTCCATCCAAACAGTACCTAGAACTTCATATCGTTGCATCTGCGACTGAGCATGACCTGGAGGAATCTGGAGTAGAGGAATACCCATAATCCCTTGCACTTGAACCTTTAACCCTCATGTTATGTTGCGGGTCAATTTGACCCATTTTGATTTTTGAGTTGTCGGAAATACTGGTTAACCTGTTTTTTTTTCTTCTTGACATTTTGAGACTTTTTCTCGTTTGGGGTTATGAACTTGAAAATGCATGCAAAGTTTCAACACTCTGATATGTTTTGAGATATACACACCTACTGTAATGTTTGTGATGTTCGTGGGTCAATTTGACCCACATGTTTTAAGGCAACTGTATAGACACAAAATAACGTTTCTTGGTTATATTTAGTTATTTTAGGTTTTTTTACTACCTTATGAAGCTAAAGGCTGATTTATACTTCTGCGTCAGACTTACATGTACGCTTTAGGCTACGCGTTGGTTTTCATTTATACTTCTGCGTCCTTGTCCGTGTTGACGTGCAATTGCACAAGCAGAGGGAGCATATAAAACCCGATGGAGGGGTTCTAGCAGACCAATCACAGCGCTTGCGGTCCGTGTAGAATTGACGTGTTGTTACATTTTTGGAGAGGTGCACGTCAGGGTACGCCGTAGGGTATAAATTGGGCTTTAAAAGGAGCTTTTTCCCACTTATACAAAAATAAATTCAGCCACAGATGGTATAAATAAGCTATCATTTCTTTTTTCAAGCTATCTGAAATACTATTTAATTTATTGTTTTTCTTGAAATTTTTAGACTTTTTCTAATTAAGGGCCATGAGCATGCATGCAAAGTTTCAACACACCAATGTGTAGTGAAATGTGCATACATAATATGTGCATACATTAAGGGTTGCCACCCGTCCCGGTTTTCCCGGGATTGTTCTCTTTTTTGATGTCCTTCAAAGCTGGAAACGCCCCTGGTTGACCCCTCCCCCTCAAAGTGTCCCGGTTTTTCACAAATCAAAGGTGGCAACCCTAGCATACATGTATACAATTTTTATGTCTGTGGGTTAATTTGCCATTCAAAAGCAACTACAGACACGAAATAACAACATTTCGTATGCATGCAGAGCTCTTCAACTCTAGTCCTGAAGTGCCAGTGTCTTGCTGAATTTAACAACTTTTTATTTTCAGTTTGTGAAAAAAAACTGTCTGTCCCACTTTTTGAGCATAGCCATGAAAATGACCTTTCCAACTTAAATTGTTACAATATATAAATTAAAACAATATATAAATTAATTATTATTTAATTAATAATAATTAATTTATTATTAAATTATCAAAAATATCTTTAAAAAAAGAAAAAAGATACAAACTATTTTGCTTTTAACTTTTCAAGCTTTACATCAGAAATACAAAATAAATGGGGCAGCTAAACATTTTTAGTGTTATTATTTTTGTAACACCCTTTTGTTAACCTTTATAATTTACATTCATGCATTTGCAAGCGTTTGCAAGCTGCCAGGGCTACTTTTCAAAAGTTTGCTAACTCAATGCTAATAGTGAGTTAGCATGATGCTAACAACAAGCATAATCATGCGGCCTTAATGTAAGCTACAGTTAGTGTAATTTGACTCTGTTTGATTAACTTAACTGACTCATTCCTTAACATTTTGTTTGTGTCATGGACTTTGATATTCAAATATAAACTTCTCTCCTCAGGACTGTCAAGTGGGGTTAAACTTTGCAGATGTAACAGAGGCTGAAAATTTCTTTGCTGTAGTGGAGGAGAAGATCAGCCAGAGAAATAATCGCTTTGGTATTAAAAATATATACGTTCTTGCACAATATTTTGTTTAAAATGTTTTCTGCCAAATCAACATAAACATACACGGGGTTATAAAGACAATCTAATAAAGCGTCTCATTAAAAATATTTTTTATGCTTTCCTCTTATAACATAAAGAGAAACAGCAGAGAAAAGGATCAGATTCTAGAGGTAAGAATCTCCGATTTTCCACAATCCATTTTTTTTTTAATTAAGTGCAAACCAAATAAAATGTTTTTATGTTCTTAGATCGTAAAACTTTGCCACTGCTTCCTCGACCAAATGGTAAGTGATTTTGTTTTTTACACAAATATTTTTTCTAGTCCATTGTGATACTAAAAATATCTGGATGTATTTTGAATGATGTGCTTTTTAATAAGCCTTTTGTTTATTTGTAAAAAAAAAAAAAATTTGCTTTGTAATTGGAAAACAAGGCACTCTCGTCTAGTTCCTGTTGTTGTTTTAACTGAATTATTTTAAGTTTATATGGTTATTGTAAAAATAAAATAAAATCCTACATTAAAAAAAAAACATATAACAGAATAAATTTTAAATATTATCGTGCTTTCTCTGCATCACAAGTTAACCAGAGGATTTGGACGTTCTGAAAACAACATAAACTTACATTTTTCTGTTCAGTGATGTAAAACTGCATGAAATGTACACAAATTAATTGCATCTTGAATCACAGGCTCTGGCACTCCTACGTCTCCTGCCATGCCTCCAATGGTACCAAGTAATGTCCAGATCCAAATTACCCCTTCCAAATCAAAGAAAGAAAAGAAAGAAAAAGACAAGAAAAATAAGAAAAAAGGATCCAAACTGTTGAAGGGTTCTATTGGAGCACCCAGTGGATTCACGTGAGTGAATAAGTGGACTTGCTTTAACCAGGATAAATGGCTTCCTTTGAGATGCTTATGTTTCGTTGTGTTATGACTTTAGGCATGTCAGTCACCTAGGCATGGGTCCAAACAATTTGGACCCAGACCTGAAGAAACTTTTGTCCTGCGCTGGTATCAGCGAAGCAGCTATGGATGATTCGGAAACCTCTCAACTCATCTATGAAGCCATTGAGCGTTCAGGTGGAATGGAGGCTGTTAAAAAGGCTGTAAAAGAGAAGGGTAAGTCATCGAGATAGGCAAACAGCTAACCGAGTAAAAATGTTGGATTTGTTTCATATTATGCCTCTAAGCCAGGGGTGCACGATCCTGTTCCTGGAAATCTACCTTCCTGCAAAGTTCAGCTCCAACCCTAATCAAATGCATCTGAACCAGCTAAATAAGATCTTCAGGAACACGTGATCATTTTGTTGGAGCAGGGTTTGCACTGAACTCTGCAGGAAGGTACATCTCCAGGAACAGGATTGGTCACCCATGCTCTAAGTGTATTGTTTAACATTCTTTCAGAGTCTACATGCCCTCCTGTTCCTAGTGGACATCGGGGTTCTCTTCCCCAAGTGCCATCCGGGTTCTCCTCAGCGCCGCCGCCACCACCTCAAGGTCGAACAGGGCCTCTACCCCTTGTCCCAGGTCAAACTTCTGCTCCACCATCCCATCGAGCTTCCCTTCCACCCCCACCTCCAAGAGCAGTTCCATCACAACAAACAATAGAGGGCCGCGGTGGTCCTCCGCCAGCCCGATCTACAGCATTAGGGCCCCTGCCCCCTGTTCCTGCTGGTGGGCGTACTGGGCCCTTGCCTCAACCTCCAGGAGCCCGCAGCGCACCCTTACCACCTGCACCTGGAGGTCGGAGTGGAGGCTTGCCCCCGCCACCACTCCCAGGAGAACGTAGGGAGTCTTTAGCCCCCGTTCCAGGAAAGAGACCTGGAACTCAAGTGTCCGAAAGGCGAGGTAGCTTCCTGCCACCCCCACCTACTGAGGCAGCTCCCCCACCACTACCTCCAGGAACGAGGAACGCACCCTTACCCCCACATCCAAGAGACAATAGATTTTTGCCACCTCCACCCCAATCTGAAATGCCGCTACCTCCTCCCCCGTCTGGTTATTTCCCTTCTCCACCTTGTGAATCATTTCCTCCACCTCCACCTGAAGACTTTGCTGATTCTATGCCTCCACCTCATACCTTTGAATCCAACTTTCCTCCCAGAAGCAATTCCTCAGGCTTCGCCCCTCCACCCCCTCGAGTCACAGCCAAACCCAGCGCAGGTGGTCCGCCTCCGCCACCTCCTCCTCCACCTCCTGCTGCTGCCCCTCCTCCAATGAATTTTGGAAGCAACTCCTCTCCTCCAACTGGTCCACCACCTCCAGCATCCAGCGGTGGGGAAGGGGGTAGAGGAGCATTACTATCCCAGATACAATCAGGGTTGAAGCTCAAAAAGGTGAGTGTCTACACAACCGTTCAAAAGTTTGGGGTTAGTATGATTTTTTGTTGTTGTAAGAAATGAATACCTTTATTCAGCCAGGACACATTCAATTGTTCAAAAGTGATAGCAAAGACATATGATGTTACAAAATTATATATTTCAAATAAATGCTGTCTTTTGAACTTTATATTCATCAAATAATTCTGAAAAAAAATCTGTCAGTTTGCTTAAAAATATCTAATCAGCATATGAGAATGATTTCTGAAGGATCAAGTGACACTGAAGACTGGAGTAATGCTGCTAAAAATTCAACAGGAATGAATATAATAAAATATTTTAAATTGTATAAATATATTTTTCACAATATTAATGTATTTTTGATCAAATAAACATCTTACCGACCTCAAACTTTTCAACAGTAGAGTAAATATTTTATTTTGTTGAAGCAAAAAAGTCAATTTGGTGTTCATAGCATGTGACTTTCTTACAAGATCTAAGCACCGATAAGGTTCCGGTTGTGTTAGCTTCTCTTTATTAATAATGTTTGCATGTATGCCTTAAGCTCAACACTCTATAGCAGCAATATACAGTAATGTCTCTTGTCCAGGTGGCAGCAAACCAAGAACCCCCTTCACCTTCACTGGATACAGGAGAGGGAATAGTTGGAGCTCTCATGATGGTGATGCAGAAGAGGAGTAAAGCCATCCATTCATCTGGTAACCACTCAAGATTGTTTTCTTTAATATAGTCATTATGAAAGTTAAAAAGTAGTACTTTTATATTAACATTTACACAATATACTATGTATATAATAATGTTCAGACATTAAGTTGATCTGCTGGATTCCGTTGTTTACGTATGCTGTGCCTTTTAACATTTTCTACTTTTTAATATTTTGTAGATGAGGATGAAGAATTTGATGATGAAGAGGATGATGACGAAGACTGGGATTAATCCTGTTGTAATTGAAATATTTTCGATACATGTACTTGGGCAGCTTTACATGTTTTTGAAGTTAAACAACACTGATCCAATGTATTTTCTCTAGGGATGCACTGATATTCAAATTCTGGCCAAAACTGATCATTATTTTTATGTTAAGGTCGATAACCGGCTGATAAAAATGGCTGATATTAAAATTCACTGATGACTGAAATCACCTGTTTAAAATGTCACAAGTGATTTTAGGCATCACAACAATATAATATACAATATAAAAAAAATGAATATTCATTTAGAGATTTGCTTTGATATCACATTTAACAGTGCTGTTAAAAATATATTACTTTTAAAAGTTTTACCTTAAGGGGGAGTTTGATGACAAAGATAATTAAAGGTAAACTAATGTAAAACAAAAAAACAAAAAAACAAAATCATGCACAATTAAATATCCTATATACACAAACATATTTTATGCATACCTAGTGATCGCTCTCTAGTCTCAGGGGTTCTCAGTCTCTGTGAGTGTATTTAATTCATTCTATACAACAAGTCAATGTGAAATGTAAAGTTGATCTCTTACTCAAATGTAAACGTGCAAGGTCTATGTTGTTGTTTATAGTTGTGAAGGCATTATCCGTGAATGACAGATGGTTAATAAAAGTGTACTATTCGATTTTTTTGAGTGTGTTAATTAATCAGCTAGAGTTTATTTCAATAATCTAATGTTAATCAGTACTGAATGTATTTACCATATGTAACTAAATATACTCAAATGTGAATTAAAAACATTAATCTATGGCTTGCAAATTATTGCTTTTTTATTTTTTTCTTACAAGACATCAACATCTAAGAGCAAGACATAACATTGTAATTTACAACTGGACTATTCTACCATTCTACTAAAAAAGCACATAAAGTTTGTGAAATATTTCCAGTGTTAGATATTATCTGAGTGAACTTATTTGACCGTTTGCATTTGCTTGAATGGTGATTTCTCAACCAGACACAAAGCATGAAACTAAATGCACAGCATAAAAGTGTTATTTCCTAAACAAGTCAGTCATTTTGAATGCATTTAAATAAATATAACAACATATTGAATTGGTCAATCATGCAAAAATGCCCTCCACCCTTATTCAGTATCCTCTAGCAACAAGTATCATCCAATAAAAAATATTCAACTTCAAATAAATATATATTACAAATAGTGAGAAGCAGCCACAGTCACACAGACATAGAAGGCAAGTAGTGTTCTTGCAGATGTTTGGTGCCATTATTACCGGTAACCCAGATATTGGAATCCATCCATATATTACTATCAAACATACATTACACACATATATTACTTTTACAATTTCATAATCTGGGTGGAACATTTGAAATTGCACTGGCCCACTGATTGAGTAATTTAACAATGAGTTTGTAAGCAACTTTGTTTTTCTGACTACAAGATAGTGGAACGTTTTCAAAGTTTATGAGGTAATATCCTCTTTAAATGTGCTTTACAGTTTATTGGTTGTTTTTTACTTTAATTAAAGCCAGTATGTAATGACTGTATCCTGAAGGTCATATTTGTGAGGTTAGTAAATGTTTACACCTGTTTATAATACTGAAATGCAGTCAAATCACTGTGGCAAGTGGAAATGCTCAGTCCTAAATCAACACTGACTACAATCTCAGTGCAACAGCAGAATGGTCAGGTACTTTAACTTTGGATCAGTGAATGAATGTAGGATTACATACAGTGACTCTAAAAAGAATTTAGACACTTAATTTCTGGGAGTGAATGCTATTGCATTAGATAACAAAATATTAAGCCATGTGGAAAATTTCAAAACAACAGACAGTTAATTAATTGTGAAAATTAACTGTCAAATATTTTTTAACTTGAATTTTGAACACTTTAAAATGATTAATTTATTTTGGAAATACATTTTTACAAAGTAATTTCCAAATATTTGGAGCCACTGTTCATGAATTAATTAGGTTGGTTAATTTTGAACACTTTAAAAGGATAAATTTATTTTGGACACATAAAAATTACAGAATTTTTACAAAGTAATTTCCAAATATATGGAGCCGCTGTTCACAAATTAATTAATCAGGTACATTTTGAGCACTGTAAAGATTTATTCATTTTCAAGTGTCCCAAAAAAATAATTACTTTTGAATATTGTAAAAATTAGATATTTTTTAATTGTCCAATAGTGTCCAAATACTTTTTGGGGCCACTGTTCATAAATTATCCTATTTAGGTACATGTTAAATGAATACATTTTCGTTTTTTAGTGTCGCAAATTCCGATTCCTTTTAAACACTGTAAAACGTGTCCAAACGGTCCAAAAGTGTCCAAATACTTTTAGGTGGCACTGCACATGAACTAACCTATGCAAGTCCATAAACTGCTCGGAACAAGGTGACGAACAGAAGATAACTGTCTTTTCCTCTCCTCCTCACTCCCCACTAGCCTTCAGTGCTTCTGTGTGTCTGCGGTTGGCGCGTTTAGGGAGGTCAGCCTGAGAGTTGCCCCCGGACGTCAGCTGCTCCCAGTAGGACTGGCAGTACTGCTGAATCAGGCGCATTTCAGGCTCCAGCAGGAGTGCTGGGGTAGGACGTGCAGGGTCCTGTTGATGGTCTTTGTGATGGCTCCTCGAAGCCTCTTCCTCCTCATCGGGGGTGGTGAGGGCTACAGCGATGTCCCGGTCCAGGATACGTAAATAGACACGAGCCAGCGTGTGTTTGAAGTTATTTTCTGTGGCCAGGCAATGGTACTGGCCTGCATCTGCTTTGGTGAGAGTTTTCAGAAGGACCCCCTGAGGAGTCTTAAGAACTTCCCCGTCTCGATTTAGCTGTAAACATAATCAGAGCAAGGTGCCGTTATAATCTGATTATACACTATTGATTAAAAGTTTGAGGTTGGCAAGATTTTTTAAATGTTTTTTAAGTCTTTCATGCTCACCAAGGCTGCATTTATTTGATTTAAAAATACAGTAAAAACAGTAATATTACAAAAATAATTGTTATAGAAATAACTTTTCTAGTTTATGCTGATTTGGTGCTCAAGAGACATTTCTTATTATCAATAGCTGTTTCCATCCACATATTTTTTTGCGCATTTTGGGATATCGCATAAAAAAAAACGCTGGATGGAAGTGCCGAGATGCGTCTAAATTTTAAAAATGCGCATTAAAAACGTACATTACGGATACATGGAAATACATTTACCAATTAAATCCCACGATGCACAACAAAAAAACTCATGTGACTTTGCCTCAACAGTGGATGTGATTGGATAACTGGACTAGCTAGAGTTAGTATCATTGCACAGCATCTCAAATGTTGGCTGATTTGAATGATTTGGTTGACATGATAGCGTTCACAAACATCAGACACCCGGAAGCAAGATGACATGACAGCGGTTATTGGGTTTCGTCATTTATGATGTATGAAAAAAAGAGCCACAGTGCTCGATTGCAGCAACTTCCATTTTTATTACAGATATTTAGCAATTTCCCAGTATTTTGTTCTCTTTACTCACAAATGTTTTTTTCAAACATTCCAATTTTGTTTACAAGTTAAATTCACTGTTATATTCACTATTTTTTATAACTAATATTTTTGTGGAAACTGTGAGACATTTTTTCAGGATTCTTTGAATAGAAATTTCAACAGTACAGCATTTATTTGAAATCAAAATCTTTTGTAACATTTTAAATGTCTTTACGGTCACAACTTTTGAACAGTAGTGTAAATTAACCAACAAAATGAAAATGTTAATATATAATAAATGTTTTATTTGGCTGGTTAGTGACTGGTGGTTTGAAATAAAGTAAAAGCATGAAATCGTACCACTTTTCGTCTTCCCTCCTTCTGGTAGAGCCATTTGATAGTGGCCTGGGGAGAGCGCGGGACGCACTCCAGAAATGTGCTGCTACCCTCCACCCCGAACTGAACTTTCTCCTTCAGTCTCCTCTCCACTAGTAGACACAGTAAAAGATTATAGTCATATGCTGAGTCCTATTACACAAATACATCAGACTGACCACATTATAATCCTGCAAGCTGATATTTGTTGATGAACTGTGTGTTTTTGTTACCTTTGGCATTGTAGCCCCGGCACTGACGCAAAGGGTCACCGTGTTTAACGTCCTGCCTTCTGCTCCTCCTGAATGAAATAATACAATGATTCTATAATTAAAGTCCACATCAATTTACTGTCCTATGAAATGGAACTCACATAAGCCCCTTATAGAAAGTTTGAATAATCTTCTCGTCATGATTCAGTTGCGAGGAGAGAAGTTAAGTATGTGCAATTTCAAAGGTTCTCTGACCTTTTGGTGGCTTGTGTAAAGGCAGAGCAGTTATCTCCATCCCAGGCACAGTAGGGGTCTCTGGCCAGACAGCAGTCCGAACAGGCCTTTCCATACACTCCACAGCGGTGCAGAGACATCTGGGTAAGACCTGCCTCAGAAGATGCGTACAGCTGTTGCTGCAAAAAAAAAAAAAGGCGAATATTGTAATGCCATACTACTGATTTCTGTAATATTTTTTATTATTATACTCCTAAAGGCTATTATATTTAGAACTCTTTTTTTATCATTTTATTTTTGTTACATTTTATTTTTTACTCTTACCCGTTTGGCGGATATGTGCATTGTTTTGACAGCAGCAGGTGTCTGTTAGTAAAAAGGAATAGAAAAGCATACTTCATTATATTTGTATGTTTTATTATGTAATTTAATTTTATTATGTAAATGTATTTATTTATTTTAATATAACATTAAAATTCTGATATATTTACCCTGAAAACTTCCACTTCCTCTAAAGTGAGCTCTTCCATTGTGGTGGGATCCTTGGGCAGGACTATAACTTTTTGGACCGTACCATGATCTGTGGGGTGACAAAAAAGTGATACAGTTTACACAATGTTTATCAGAATCTGCATCCTACATTTAATTTCTAAAATTAATAGGGTAAATTTTTATTAGGGAGGGCTGCACAATATATTGAAATTATCGAAATATCGCAAATGTATATATCGTGATATCCATATCGTAACGGCTTGCAATAACTGGGGTCATGAACAAAAGACAGAGAAAATCACTCGCTGCTCTTGGCTGAATATCTTTTCTCGCTTTAATAAGAATCTGTATACATTTCATTCATACAGTGAAAACTAAGCAGTGTTTTATTTTTACATTTGATTATTCAGTTTATGTTGTTAAATAAACTGAATGTAGGATAACCTGAACCCCTAAACCCAGTGCTTTACACTGATGTTAAAATAACACTTCTTATGCTACAGTAAAACACTGATGGTCACTTTCAGAAGTTGTAGGGATGTTTTCTTGTCACAAAAAGAATGTGAAACACGCATGTAGGTTACATAATAGATCATTTAAGTTTATTTTACACACTTTAAGCATTATCGTATCGCATATCGCATTATTAGTTATCGCATTTTTCTTCAATATCGTGCAGCCCTAATTTTTATCTCATGCCGACTTTAACAACTAGGCTGTACACTATTCCAAGTTTTACGGATTCAAGAAACTTGACTAATTTCAGCAAATCAGAGGATGCCAGTCTCACCCGTTCCCAGAAAGAGAACCTCATATCGGCCATCCACAGCATCCACCTGGTCCACTGCAATAGTAGTAAAGCGATAGTCTACACCAGAGCGCACCACCAGAGGGCGCTTGTGAATGGGATACACAGGGTAGTACATGAGAGGATGAGCACGAATGAAGTTAACCGCTTCATCTGATAACTCTTTTGTGGACTGAAGACCCGGTGTGAATGTGCCTCCCGGACACTAATGCGGGAAACAGATGGAGAGTCAGTCAGATAAATGTACACCCATGTAGCCTCAGCAATAAAAGATATCATAGGCACTGTAAGATGGATGATAAGCAGCATAAAAGCACATTATGCTATTACAAAAAATTGGGGTGAAATGACCAAATGTTCATGATGCTTGAGAGAAAAATTGACTGAAACTCACCGTTCCCGGACGAGGATAGGGAATCTTCCCTGTGTATGTAGTCCATTGGTAGTTGTGTCCGTGTTTATGGGCGAAAGGGCCATTAAAGACATTTCGGATATCAGCCATTGAGTAGACACACACGGCTGAGCCTTTAAACACAGAGCTAAGAGACAAAAACAAGACAGATGACTAAAATATCACAGATCCAGAAACAAACAATTTATCAAAGTGGAAGAAAACAGATTGGGGGGTTAAAACACAAAAAGAAGAGTATAAAAAAGTCAGAAATTACTATTATTTGACATTATCACTGCTCCAAATATGCCTACTTCCGTACTATATAATAGGCAAAAAAAAAAAACAGTATGCGAGCAGTATGTCCGAATTAATAGTATTCATATGACTACTTGCGGCGAGATTCGCGAGAAGTGTGCGTTCGATGGACACTTTACTATCCCATGAGGTCACGGGAGAGGATTTGTGAATGGAGGTGAAGCGACGCAACTGACGCTGTTGGTCACATGACAATGACAACATGGCGGATGTAGTACATCCAAATTTCATTCACATTATACACGTTCATACTATATAAAACATACTTTTTAATGGTCGTGAAGTAAGTTTAAAGCCTAATGTATTACCTACAATACAATATGCGATTTTGGACGCAGCATATATGTTGATCTGAAAATATATAGAAGAAGATGTATAGATGTATATATGAAAAAGCAGGTGTGTACCCAGAAGTTGAGAAGACGCCATATACCACAGGGTTTCGTTCATCCTGGGCAGGTTGGATAAACACATCCCCTGGAGTGGAGGAGAAAAGCATTTAAAAAATGTGTCAATACTCAGACATCTCTGGAAATACAACAGCATTTACTATATCGGAAATACTTTAACACCACTAGACGGCACAATAATCTCAAAACGGCTATGCAACACATCACAAATTGCAAAACTACTATTAAATAAACTTGGAAAGAAAACAGCACTCACTCAGTTCATCAAAGAAGGTTTCCACCCCATCATCTCCCATAACAGAGCACACCAGCCTGGCCTTCAGAAAAGTCGTCCATTTGTTCACGAGAGACTTCTGTCCGCCCTCATCATTCTGTGATGAAACACACACAGCTGTTTATTGACTGACTGAACTGTGAACTGCTTCCTGTGCACCTGCGGTCTCTGGTTACGTGAAGCAGGATATTGCTCACCAGGCACACGCGGCCCACTCTGGCCAACACACTTGGGCTCGCTCCTCCCCCCGAGTCCAGACTCTTCTCACGGAAGAAGAAATAGAGCTTGTCGTCGTTCTTCTCTGAGCTGTCAGGAATCTGTTTCATGTGAACAAATACAGGTTCTAGGAAATAAACAGAGTGTGCATGTCACATCCATCCAAATATTTAATGGAAAACTAAAACAGCTGAGCAAATATTTATTGTCAATCTAATTAAAAAGACATCTGCCAATTCAAATATGAACAGCAGAGCTATTTACCATTCAGCCACCTAGAGTCATACTGCTCTGATCTCACAGCTGGACGGCTCCCCATGGTCCTGAAGATGCCTGGATCACTGCTCATGAAGTCCACCGGCACTCCTGCATACAGGTTTCCATCTAGGTGTAGGAGAGGTGATAAATGAATTCATGAGTGCAAGTGAAAGCACAATGTTTCAGATGATTTGGGAAGTTTGGTGATCTGTTTACACATTAGACAGGATATGTAACCTTTGATAAGTTGAACATCACTGAACATCAGATAGGGATAAATTGGAGACTCCCATATTTACCAGCATGGCTTTTAGTAAAATAAGCTTATGGTAAATTAAATTGTATTATATTGAATTATTATATTTGTGGTGTCATGTTGTGGCCATTATGTGAACTGCACTCCAATATAAAGTATTGTAGTAAGGATACCACAATATTCTTTATAAATACATGGGCTAGACTGAATTGATGTCACAAAGCATTTTATTTAGTAATCGTTAAATTACGTAGTAACTACTAAGCCAAAACCTTATCGCAGTCAAATATATCTATTATGACCTGAATCAGCAATGTAAGCAAATGTAAAATGTAAATATCAGTAAGGATTCTGATGTTATCATTCTGTTATTGTTCTGTTATATGTTATGATTCTGTAATGTTATATGTTGTGAGTTTTGTGCTGTTATGTTCTGTTATTTTGTGATCCTGTTATGATTTGGTTATGTTATGATTCTATTATGTTAAGTTAAGATTCTGTTCTGTTTTGATGTTATGATTCTTTTACACTGTTATGTTACAATTCTGTTAAGTTCTGATGTTATCAATCTGTTATGTTATAATTATTTTATGCTATATTATGTTCTGGTATGTTACGATATATTATGATGTTATGATTATGTTATGATTCAGTTGTGTTATGTAATGATATGGCATGTTATATGTTATGATTGTTATGTTCTGCTATTTTGAGGATTGTTTGATACAATGACAGATGACAACAGTTACTACAGTAAGATTGGCTATTAATGTGCTTACTGATGGATCAATTACATAAAATCTAAAGTAATATAGCATCTTCATTAATCGTTTCTTACTAATCAGGGCTGCGACATTCTCCTGGTTTGGATCGTAAGAGCATTTTCCCTTCCCAGAGTCCACATAACCAGGAACCAGCCTGAAAAGGTAGTCCTGTGGACATCAGAGCAGCGAGAGCATTTGGTTTTTGTCACTGCAGATTGTGTGTATATATACGAGCACAGTGCATTTATGTCTATGTGTACCTCAGCTCTCCAGCCTCTGTTGATGAAAGTGCAGATGGGTTTATAAGCTCCTGTGCCGCAGGTGTACAGGTGAGTCCTGTTCCACGGCTCAATCAGACGCACAAAGTTAGCACATTCTCCCTGAAAAAACACACACACAACTGTTAAAGAGATATTGGTCAAATCAAGAGTCTTGCATTCTATTTAGTGATTCAGGTACTAGGATGGTTTGATTAAAATAACTGATGTAAACTGAACTCACATGCCTGCCTTTCCCAGTCATCTGACACTCTCCCTTTCTCTGAGCTGGAGCTGGCCAGTGGATCTACAGACATAAAACACCCACAGCATAATGACAAGAATTCACTTCTTTTGGGGTCAGTGTTCGGGTGACAATTGCTTCATGTTATTTTGTTGTGAATGGATTTGATCCCTTACAATGAGAGGCTCTTTGTTGATGTTTTGCATGTCCAGAGAAACCAGATATTCGCGGCTGCCCAGGTACAACCGCCCCTGGTCTGGGTCAACGTGCAAGATCCGGTAGTCACTGGTGTTGAAGGAGAAACTGAAAGGCCTTGCTGTCCGAGTGTCCATCAATTCTGATGAATGACAAAAGAGAAGCATAGGAAATAAAATGATGAATCATGTCTATATAACTTTTAAAACTAACCTTTATTTTATTACATTTAAAAATGTAGGCCTAATTTATTTATGAAGTTTTAGCAGCCATTACTCCAGTGTTCAGTGTCATTCTAATATGCAGATTTGGTGCTCAAGAAACATTTTTATTATTATCACAGTTGAAAGCGGTTATACGTTTTTTTTCAGGATTCAGGAAAGTTCATATATATATATATATATATATAGTATCAATTATTTTGTTTTAAAGTGACTCAACGTAATAATAGCCACTTAAATAATAATATTAATAATATTAATAATTATGCTTAATTAGAATACTTTTGGTGTCAATAATGTGTTTTTGGGCCTTATTGTGAGACAGTAAAGGTACTTCAGACAGAAAGGGTGAGAAACTGCTCAATAAATGTCCTACTATAATAGTGTTTCATCTATAGGGGGTGCTCTTAACTCTCTCTTCAAGCATCTGCTATCTGAAATCCACACGCTCTCACTAAACACAGTTCTGTGGGCATTTCCTTTTTCCAGATGAAAACGTTAAAATAAAAATCTTGTAGTAGCAGTGTTCTGGGCCACCCCTCTTCAGCGAGCTCTTCTTGAAGGTGGAAGGAAGAGCCGAGAAGTTGGTGGCTCTTGGGAGCAAACTGCACTTAACACAGTTCCAGAAACATTTCCTGAGTACCAGCGAATAGAAAAACACGTCCACATGTGGGCCAAGTATTCAGTCTCAAAGGCAAAGATTAAAATAAAGAAATTCAGCGGAGTTAAAATGAACCGTTTACTCAGACATTCGTGCAGGCTGTCACAGGACTTCAAAAGAACGCCAGACCCTGATGCAAGTATTGCAGTTAATGTTGTGTGAATGTTTAACTGCGTAGACTTGTGTCGGTTATGAATTATGATTAGATGATTTCAGGCCTGAAAGAGACGTCAGCATCTAATAATAAAAGATTTTTCCAAAACTGAAATACTGTCATAAATTCCTCACTCTCCTCACTCAGGATGAATATAAACACAGTTAAAACAAACTGTTCTTTTCTATTTGTTCCCCTGTGCAGGATCAATCTGACACACACAGACACAGACACAGACACACACACACACACACACACACAGACACAGACACAGACACAGACACACACACACACACACACACACACACTCCTTGAGGATGAAGTCCTGTAGCTCTTTCACAAGCTACATTCATAGATGACTAATTATGCATTTGATCCTGACTAGATTCATCCACATCATGAACTTCGTTATACTAAACTGTTATGCAATACACTACCATTCAAAAGTTTGGGGGTCAGGAAGATTTTATTTATTTTTTAAAGAATTTATTTCTATTCAGCAAGAATGCATTAAAATGACATTGAAATTGACATTTTCCATTTTAAGTAAAATTTCTTTTGACTTTTCTATTCATCAAAGAATCCTCAATAAATGTATCACGGTCCAACAAAAATATTAAGCAGTAAAATATTAATATTATTGTCTCTACTAGGTGTCAGTCAGATTACAATCAGTATATAAAATATGTTATTCCTGAGAGATTTGTTTTCTCACCTAACAGAGCAAGTATAAAAGCATATTATCTTTTGGAGGGTTAAAAAGTGTGTCTGATGAGCTTTTAAGGGCTGAATATTTCAAGCACTGACCTACTGGGTCGCAGTGCCTGTAAATGTTCTGAGCATTCCATTAGCTTAATACAAGCTCACTTACATTGCAGTGTAAGGCTGCCTTTAACTGGCACAAACCAAAACTTGAAATTACAAAAGGGGAATCAATTTGACATTGAGTTTTGTCATCCTTCCCTTGGACGATCATCCGTACGGATGTTTGTACACCCACGGAAATGTTTAGGCACAGGAAATGTGGGCATTTTGATGGCGACTTTAATGTTGTAAAAGTAAATATATGTTTAAGTGTGTCTCTGTGAGTGTGTGTTTACAGGATGCTCTGGAGAGGGTGCTAAAATAACCGCTAATGATCGGATATCTGTTGGACACGGAACTGGGTGGGCAAAAGGGAAAGAGTTTGTGTACAATCCTGTTCCCCTCTCTTCCCTTTACCGTCAGGAAAGAACACCGGACACGCCACCACTGCCAAACCTGCAGTGGACCAAAGTGGACACAGCACAGAGTTCATAACAATCACGGGTGAAAGACGCTGGTACAAAGGTGAGGCACGTAAAGTCTAGTGATACAACATCCTGCAGGAAGTCTTTGTTGTGAGAGGAATTCAACAGGGACTCAATACAGGGACTCTCTTGTGTACTTTCAAATAGATGTGAGTCTCAAAATATAACTAAACATAATACAAAATATAACTAAACATAATACAAATTAAACATTTTATGAGATAAAAACTTATAACTTAAAATATTTTATTAAAATTATGAACATTTTATTTGCTTAAGTAAATTATTCAAATTTCTATCAATATTATGTAAAAATATACACTCACCTAAAGGATTATTAGGAACACCTGTTCAATTTCTCATGAATGCAATTATCTAATCAACCAATCACATGGCAGTTGCTTCAATGCATTTAGGGGTGTGGCATGACACCTGGTCAAGACAATCTCCTGAACTCCAAACTGAATGTCAGAATGGGAAAGAAAGGTGATTTAAGCAATTTTGAGCGTGGCATGGTTGCTGGTGCCAGACGGGCCGGTCTGAGTATTTCACAATCTACTCAGTTACTGGGATTTTCACGCACAACCATTTCTAGGGTTTACGAAGAATGGTGTGAAAAGGGAAAAACATCCAGTATGCGGCAGTCCTGTGGGCGAAAATGCCTTGTTGATGCTAGAGGTCAGAGGAGATAGATTACCACTGTGCAGGCTGGTGGTGGTGGTTTATTGGTGTGAGGGATGTTTTCGTGGCACACTTTAGGCCCCTTAGTGCCAATTGGGCATCGTTTAAATGCCACGGCCTACCTGAGCATTGTTTCTGACCATGTCCATCCCTTTATGGCCACCATGTACCCATCCTCTGATGGCTACTTCCAGCAGGATAATGCACCATGTCACAAAGCTCGAATCATTTCAAATTGGTTTCTTGAACATGACAATGAGTTCACTGTACTAAAATGGCCCCGACAAGTCACCAGATCTCAACCCAATAGAGCATCTTTGGGATGTGGTGGAACGGGAGCTTCGTGCCCTGGATGTGCATCCCACAAATCTCCATCAACTGCAAGATGCTATCCTATCAATATGGGCCAACATTTCTAAAGAATGCTTTCAGCACCTTGTTGAATCAATGCCACGTAGAATTAAGGCAGTTCTGAAGGCGAAAGGGGGTCAAACACAGTATTAGTATGGTGTTCCTAATAATCCTTTAGGTGAGTGTATATTTTAAATATTTGTATAAATGTTCATACAATATTATATATTATAATATTATATTATATTAAAATAATATTTCAAAGTTAGTTACTCAGCACACAATAGCATAATATCTTTAAATTATAATAATTATAAGTAATTTTCAATAATTAATTATTTAATCAGCGTATCATAATCTGAATAAATTATTAAATTGATTGACAGCCGTAGTAAAATGCAATATCATAAGGTAAGGTTACACACTGGACGCACTAGGGACATTATAGAATATCACGTTCCTCTTTCACTCTTTCTGCCAGTTTCTCATAGGCTCTAATTGGGTACACTTTCTAGAGTTACACAAAGACCTTCCCTCATCTGCAGGCGCCTCCGAAACAAAGACCATCCCGCTGGCAAACAATGAACAATCCATCTCAGATAACAGCAGAAAATAGAGAGGCCAATGAGACAAGTGGATTTTTCCGCCCAGCTATCCTGGATGTGAAGGAGAGGGTGGAGTCAAGGGTGAGAGGGGGATCTTTCCTGGCGGGAGCAAAATACATGGCAAATGAGGAAAATGGCCACGCAGAAATGGACTGGATCAGAGCCAAAGAGTTTCAGTGGAATTACAGGGACGGGTGATGAAAGACAAGACAAAGCTAACAATAGCTAGAACCAAATTACTGAGGGCGTATAATTCAGCCCGGTCATCTCTTCAATTAGGTTTCATCAGGGCACAAGCAGGAGGAATATGAGCCCGGGGCAATTGGAAATATGAAACATGAGGTGATTGATATATGAAACAGCTTTTCTTTTTTCATTAATCCTGTTAACATCCTTATGAATTTCCTTCAAGGCACTTTTAACCCACATCTTGATTGGATTGTTTGTGAAGAACAGGAAGGTCAATTGAATTCTCAAAATCTCAAGGGTCACTAAGAATTGAGGCATAGATTCACCCTAAAATAGAAGAACCTCTATTTACTGGTTATGAGGCAATTAATGTTTTCTTATTGTCAGTTGTCCATAACCATCATCAGACCATTTCACGTCCCACCTCATGTTTTCCTGTGACAAAACGAGGGATGCAACAATAATAAAAGTTAATGCATTCTAGTTAATAACCAATAAATAACCATCATACATTTTTTTACTATTTTGTCTAATTTTAAAAAATAAAATACTAAAACTGATTGTTTTAGTACAAGTAGAAAATAAATAAATAAATAAATAAAAAGAATACATGTAAAAATGTTTTTAAAGATTAACTTTGAGTGTTAGATGCTACCAAAGGTCATCTAAATATAAAAAAGTTGAATTAGTGTTTAATATCGACTGATGCCAACAAATTATATTATTTAAATAAATGATTTTAAAAACAAATTGGTTAACCAATTAACCAATATGGTGCCAATATTTTGTTCCTTACAAAGAATAAAATGAGATGAGATGAAAATGAGATGAGCAGTTTAAAACAAAACATTTGTAAATTCTAGAAGGTTCACTAGAAGAGATAAATTGGTCTGTTTCCAAGCTCGAGTCCAAGTAGAATGTAAACAGGTCTCGACACAGCTCTTGTTCTTTGAGTTTACACACAGCAAGTTTTATGAGGAAAATTATTCCAGAAATATCTTTGTCAAAATTGCCAAATGACCTAAAAACAACTTTAGAATATTCAAAGAAAGCCCAACAATGGTAGCTCTGAGTGCTAACTTGAGTCAAGTCAGCTTTTTATGTAGGTCATAGTTATTGTACCATAGCAAAGAATGAGGCCCCACAGAAATGGCAAACTAAAATAGAATGACTTGGGGAAAATGTGGCTATTGGAAAAGGTTGTTTACAGTCCGGCTGGTAAAACACAAACAAATCCGAATTTGTGCTTATATTCTAGGTTGCTGTATTTTGATGTTCACCGCTGTTTTTTTACTTTCCAAACACTCATGTGCAGGGTTATAATCCCACATACATGAGAGACGGGCCGCTCTATCATCTTTGGGGTAATTATGTGGCACAGTGGTATTCGCCTCTCCACATTCAGCTTATTCAGAAAGAAACATTATATGAAAAGATTCCTCTTAAGTGATTCACACTTTAAATTCCTGTTTACATCAGGCATGTGTGTTAAGCAGCCCATAGTTCAACCTGCTCCCAAATTTTAATTAGAGGGGCTGTGTTACATGTGGATATACATGTATGTATTAGTTGTACTAATGTGTGTGTATGAAGTGACTGCATGAATGTGTATGTGTTTGTCAAGAACAGGGGTGACAGTTAGCTTGACAGCTGACAATGACTATAATTGTTCAAAATGACTTTGATTTTGACCTTATACTGTATACGCTTTGAAGACGTACAATTATCAGACGAGGATGGTGGGAAAGAGTCTGTGGGAATATCCCTCATAACTTCTCCACAACAAGGCATTTGTGTCAGATTCTCCTTAAAGAGAAAGATACTAAAAGACCAAAATGAATAAATGAGAATAGCAAACAAGGAAAAGATGAACCGATGTAAAAGGAACTCCAAACCTTACATAAGGAGTTACAGCACTGGTTCTTGTGACATCTATACCTGCCATTAGATTGTATAATATCAACATATCCAGTATGAAATTAATAAGGGATGATCACTAGAATGTTCTTAACCCAAATGTAATTTTATTTTCTCTAAAAACAATGACTTGTGAATTATGACCCCTAAAACCACCTGTCCTCAGATTCAGTACTTATTATATTTAAATATGTATTAACTCAAGTCAAATATAAATGTATGTTAAAGTATATTTATGTAAAGAAAGTAATAAATGTACTTTTAAAGTCTTGTACATTTATAAGGTTTCCCTATTTCTATAAACACTGTGATTTCACTGTTATTTTTAATAAAAATTGCTTAAACATGACTACTGCATTTAATATAAAACATCCTTTTGAAACCGTCCTGTAGGCTCAATTCATTCTTAATCAAAGATTTGACAGCAATAAATCTTATCTATTTAGCTATAATAAATATTTGAAATTAAAATACACATTATTTTTGTATCTGACTGTGCTGACAAATACTGAATGATATCAAAGCTAATGTTTGAAATCTAGGAAATGACAAATATTACTATGAGCTCTTGAATTTTTGAACAATAAACAATAATATACAGGAATCGGTGGTTCTCTGGAATATGCTCAGTTGAGGACACATGTACCACACCTCAACCGTGCTGATAACATCCACCATTTGTTTTCAGCCGAGAACTGGAAAGGAAACTATCCAAACACATTTATTATGTGTGTGTGTGTGTGTGTGTGTGTGTGTGTGTGTGTGTGTGTGTGTGTGTGTGTGTGTGTGTATATATATATATATATAATTAGCAATATTTTGGGAATAAAAGTGTTCTTTCAAACTAAATCGAACAAAAACTACATACATCCAAGAACATCCTCAACTGGATACATGATTCATACATAAAATAAATGTTTTAGGGTTTTTTTTATCTAAAAAGGTGCATCCTAATTCGCATACTTATGCATACTATTCTATGTTGTTTTGTAGTATAAATAGTCCCAAATAAATTGCAACAGTAAGAAGTGCTCTTCAAATACCCAGATGATGCACTTATTTTCCCGAAAAAACAAACACTGTCTCATTTCGAAGACTGCACCCTCCGGAGGTCGCATTTGTCAGACGCATACATCATTGCGGCTGCTTCATTTCAAAAAAGTAACCATTACAATCCAAAGCATAAAGACATTACAACAATTTCTGATTCACAAGGAATAACGGTCAATTTTATAATAGTTACTTTTCTGAAATGAGACATCCTTGATGACGTATGCAAGCGACAAATGCGACCTCCAGAGGGCACAGCCTTTGAAATGAGACACAGCTAAAGTGTGGAATGCTGTACACTTCATGCCCTCAACTGTCGCAGCTATAATTACGTAGTTGAGGGGGAGGGACTATCAAACTTGTCATCTAAATCACTAAACGGTAAAGTACATTGTGCGTAGTTTAAGTGCATAGTATGTCATGTGGGACAAAATTAAATGTTTTCTTCAAGAGGTAGGGTGTGGGTTATGGTTAGTCTATAGCATACTGCATATAACTAGCTTTATATAACAACAATAGGAGTCTGGTATGTCTTCATTTAGATTAAGTGTGTATGTGTGTGTGTGTGTGTATGCATGAGCATGTGGGTATATGCAAAAGAGAAAGAGATAGGCTGAGTATGCATAGACAGGTAATGAATAAGGTTTGCGCTCACCTTTAAAAGCCAGGTGCACTCTGGGAGCGGAGCGATGTGTGCAGGCCACTTCAAACACAAACAAAGCCCACAGCAACAGGAGGAGTCTTGTTTCCATAACTCTCATGGTTAGACCCAATTTGCAGGCAACCTATACAAACCCACACAAAAGAAAGAAAATAAAACAAGGTGGACATAGAAAGAAAAGCACAAGAGAGACTAAATTTATCATTGATTTCGACAAAGGAACAGGCTGAAATGACAAAGGAAGAAGGACAAGAGGAGGGGAAAAAACAGCTTGGAAATAAATGAGAGGATGAAGAGAGACGGAGACAGTTCGATTTAGATAGACAACAGAAGGAACAGAAAGCAAACATGACTACGTACTACACTGTTGTAAATTTAGCCTGGAGTTTTAACACAGACAAATCCCAGCCTGTCACACCTTCCTTTATTCAACTCCATGGAAAGACAAAGGTTTCAGGCCTGCATTAGAGGGTCAGCATTTATGATACATGGTGTCAGTTTTATTTTAGGAAAAACAGGTGCCGTTAATCAACTTTATCCACCCAGTGCAACTGCATAGGGCTGTTTTTCAAAAGCATTGTGAGCTGAGTTGATTGTTTGAGTTTGCAGCAGAAGTCACAGAACAGAGCGAAATGTTATCATTTCATATAAAATAGATGAGTAAACTGGTAAATAAACACGACTGAAAACATAATTTCATTGATATGACAACTGAATACAATAGATTTCATAAATAAGGATTCGTACACATTTGTACATCTGTAAAGTTGTTCATACATGAATAATTTACGTTTAGTGGTGTCAATACTGTACGTATCAGTTTCTATGGAAAAGTAAGTACATGTATGTGTGGTAGAACCACACTTTACATAAAGATAAGATACGAATGAGTTCAAGTTTAATTATTAAATGTTCTCTTTTAATGAGCCTTTTTTTCATTATATCAGTTGTCAACCTGACATTTTTAACTTAATGCTCTTCCAAAAAAATAAAATTGTAATTCATTAGTGAATTCCCATTATTGTATGTATGAACTGCATGTTTTATGTACTTCAGAATAAATTAATAGATAAGCCAAAAAACAAAAATGTGGCCATCATTGACCCAAAAATCACTGCTTGTGAAAAAGAGCTTATGATGCCAAGCTGGAGGTGGCAAATCAGTCCAAGCTGCTGCAAAGCCCCGTCACGCTGCTCATTGTTTTAACTTGGAAGATCTCGCTGGAGTCCAGGGCTGCAACTGCTGCCTCTTTTAGATCAGTTTCCATCAGGCACTGATCCTGGGCTCCTGTTTATGACATCATCAGCTGGCCGGTGATGTATGGGGGTGATGTCAGCACAGCAGGCACTAGCATACTTGGGATTTGCCTGTCCATGCGTTCTCTTCATCGGAGATGCATGATTAAATCAGCTATGTCAACTTACATATTTTTATTAGCACTTATAATCACTGCACCTGTGTGTACACCACAGATTTGCCCTCAGCACTTTGTGTGTTTTGCCAAAAGTACATTTAGAGGCAAAAGTTTTGACACTAGGCAACTCGCTTAATCCTTTTCCACAAACTCACACGTGCACAAACAAACACAAACACAAACACCGGTCCAGGCTCTGCCATCTGTCACTGGTTCAAATTCACATTCAAAGTGCGTCTAGGGGCTTGTCCAGGAATGTACTACATGTCGAAACTACAAGATGACAGAGAGAGAGTGAGAGAGAACCGTAGACTACACAAAAAAGTTGGTAAATGAGAGCGGATAGTAAAAAAAGGCTATGAAGATAGTTATCTCTCTGTAAGTTCATGTAGATGTGTATCATGGCTCTGTAGACATCAGATTGGGATCATAGTTGCTGTGGTAGCATTAGACAAGAGCAAAGAATTATTGGTCTGAAAGCTTCAAACGCACATTTGTGATCTCGGGTGCACCCGTGAGGGGTTACAAAAACCAACAAATAATTGATATCATCTTTTCCAGCTCAAAGCGTCCTCACTTTTGAACCTGATTTCAAAAATCCTCTGATGTTTTACTGTGTTTCACTGGCTCTTGATGAAACTCACACCGTGCAAGATCAGATTTGTTTTATGTCTCCTCTCCTTCACATATTCACCATCAGTCACTCAGGTGTTCTTACATGTTGGTTCTGGCACTGGTTTGAGGTGAAAGAGTAGGAAGCACACACACACACACACACACACACAGAGCCATTGCTAAACATCTAACCAAACTAGATAGATAGATAGATAGATAGATAGATAGATAGATAGATAGATAGATAGATAGATAGATAGATAGATAGATAGATAGATAGATAGATAGATAGATATGCCTAAATCTCTCAAGTAAACTGTTAAGCGGGACATTTGCTGTTTTAAATTTTCAGTGGAACTTCACAGGTGTAAACTGTTATACTTTCTTGTTAGCATGAATTATGTATCAGTCGTTCTCTGCCGGAATGGCCAGAATATGAATTATGGATGCACAAGCGCAATCTATGACGTCCATTAAATCCAACTCCAACGTGTCCATTTTTGCCCCTTTTTTTTTGTGAATGACAAAATGTCAGACCGCTGTATCACTCTTTCTTAACATTCAAATATATAACTTGAGGTAAACACAAAAAGAGTATTATGTATAAAATAGCCTACATAAAAATTGTAGGGTGATGTCAGATGTTGGGGTGCAAAACTATTAAACAGTTGCCATATATATTATTTGACAATTATCAACAGATTTGATAGGCTTAGTTTTAGACAAATCATTTTGCTCTGTAATGTTAATTGCTGGTTTTCAAATATTGGAAACTTTTACAATTATGATATCATGAGTTGTTTGATTATCTCTATATAAAAAAAAAAGAGTATCTGCAAAATAAATTAATTATTTTAGGCAAATCTTTATGACCTTAATATGTTCAAGGGATATTTGGTTCCTTTCATTAAAACTGTTCATATAATATTGAAAGAATTAAGGCCAAGCTTGGATATGCCATACTCTATGACTAAACTCACAGAAAAAACATCTGGAACAAGTGCGTAGGCAATAGGTTAGCCTGATATTTTATTTACGAAAAAGGTTCATACTAACCTGAATTCAATGTATTCTAATCCCCAACCCCTAAATCATTAATATATATTTTTTAGGCAAACGTGTCTGATTATATTTCCTTATTCTGTATGTAGTTTATCTATAACACTGATTTAAATGGATATTTAAAAGTAACGTTAGTAGCCAATTTCAATATTTTAACATATAATCTGGTAAACGACATTATAGATGACTGTAAAAATGTAAACAATTAACGTTAGGTAAGTAAGATGAAAATTCGGCATGTTCGCACAATTAGCAACTGACGTAGGCTATTTGACAACCAATGACAAAACTAACAAAAACTTTAATATTTCCATCCTTACCAGCGAATTCCAGGGCAACAGCAGCTCTGACTGTGAAGTTTAAATATGAGAATATCGTATATTCACCTGATTCGCTGGTCTTATGGCTCAGTCGGTCTGTTGCTCCGTGTGTAGCCTATTTGGTGTCTTGAAGATCAGGTGAGATGTTAATCGTTACATTCCTTACAGTCTCTGTGAGCACAGCTCGTGCCTTAAACTCTGAAATCCGTCCAAAACCTTTTCAGAAAATCACAAGAGCTTGTATAGCTCTAGCTTTTAGAATTCCCACTTTTGGGGCGTGTCAGTGAGCCCGAAAAACGGAGGTAAAAGTTGCAGTTTGTGCACGCAATTCCTCAGGATACTTCTAAGCTGTTATCTGGACAGTTGAGGAGATAAAGGCAACACACGCCCAGATGTGTTTTGCTTTTTTTCGTGACAATATCTCCAGCGTTTGCCAGTTTGAATACAAAACAGAAGATGTGTTCGTCGTCTTGTCACGTAAGCTTCACGCTGCACGGCGTCGTGTTGAAAGTGTGCGCGGTGGCAGGTGTTTGGTTTATTCGGCCGGTGAAGTGTCACACGGTACAGCCCCTTCAGCACTGCTCTCAGCGAACCAAGGGCAGGAAAACATGAACATATCAATGCAGATAGTAGTATACAACAGTGTATTTGAACATTAGGCTATTTTTAAAACTTAAATATTAAACGTAATATTTGCCTAATGCTGGCAAGGGACTTTTTATTCCAGCATTTCTCAGGTTCATTTCTGTATTGTCTCAGCCTCACACCGGGATAATCACCCACAAATGAAAATTCTGTCATCATTTCCTCACCCTCATGTCATTCCAAGCCCGTAAGTCTTTCGTTCATCTTCGGAACACTAATGAAGATCTTTTGTATGAAATCTGAGAGCTTTCTGTCCTTTGACAGCACCGCAACTACCACTTCGGCGTTTTAAAAAGTTCATAAAGAGATCGTAAAACTAATTACTAGTAATAACTATAAACTAGTTAGGGGAACTATGTCTTTAAGTCTGGGTTACAAAAAAAATACTGAACATTCTGTTATTACCCAGGAAAAAAAGATATAGTTTACTGAACACACGGTAACCAATAGTGGGGCACGTTGTAACATTATTTAGGGTAAATTGTCACAATGGAATCCAAGCTTTTTAAGGACAATTTAAAATACCTATGAAGTGCCTTGAAACACGCAGCATTATTCAGAGTGTTGACATAATTTCCACTGAAACAGGAAGGAAGACAGGGTGTGACATATGGATCAGCTCCTCCCCTTTTTGAAAAATAGCCAATAGGGTTTAGTTTATATCACAGCTCGGCCAGAGCCGTTAAACTCAGTAAAGTCGCAGTTTCCTCCTCTTCCGAATATCTCCTTCATCTCACTTTAAAATATATAATTCTGTGCAGAATTCAAAGGATCCTATACGTTTTGTGGTATGACTCGCGCATAATATGATTCTGTATGCATTTTATGAAATTACAAGATATAAAACACGTGACAACTTAGTCTGAAATTGATCATGAGACCACAGTTTTATTGTTTATTTGTTTACCCAAGAGCTATTGTATATATAATAAATGTATAATTTAACAAATATATTAGAGCTTTATTGACTTATTGAATCTTAATTTTAAGATTTTTTTTTTTTTTTTTTTTTTTTTTTTACAAATTGTACAAATTACAATTCATTGCACTGTTCAAATTTACAAAAGCGCCAGCAGTTCAG